CGCTCTCTTCCCGTTCGCTTGGTCCCAGGTTGAGAACCTTTCTTTGGGGTCCGACACCTAGATCGCTCCGTGGAGGTTCCCTTCCCCGCTGCCGACCTGCCGAGTCGCTAGGCGCCAGTTACAAACACTGCCTGGACTACGGTATGTACGTGTGCAATCTCTTCATCGTTACGTCTTTCACGCTCTTGCGTGCATCTCGTCGAGGGATGGAGGCATGGATTGATGGCTCGTGGTTATCAACTCCTCCTTCGCTGCGATGGCGTCGACCCTATAGGACGGACTTCAGTGGCTTTGGTTCGATTCAACCGTCATCCCCCATGTGCAGCCCCTCCGCGCCTGGGCCATAACTGGATTCTGGTTTAATATCAAGAAGCATTGCCAACTCATCATTGCATGAGCTGTTATGGCCCTGCTTGTTCCTAGTTGCCTCGCAGGCCATTCAGCCATTCACAGGCGCCGCCTGTTCGTTAGGGCCACGACCAGAGCATGCAAGGGTTTGCCGGCCCAGCCACTGTTCATGCACCTCATTTTTGTTCACCGACTTCGTGGTATGGCTTCAAGCCAGTCATTCACGTTGACACCTTTTTTTCCTCCTGGGGCGTAACCCCAGACCGTGACCCCGTTTCCACCCCTCCGATCCTCCCGACCTCCAACGCCCACTGGCAACAGGTTCGCGGCTCGAACAAGCGCTCGAGACATAGGCCAGCTCTGAATCAACGGCTAACCTTTCATGGTGGATTTTGATTTGCCAACGACACTCTGTGCTGACCAGCTTCGACTATCAAAGGCTGGCCGTCTTGTCTCTCCAGCTCCCGCCCTTACACATCAGATGCCCCGGCGAATCGCCCGTGGACCCGGTAACATGGCCCATAATGCTACTTACCCCATGGGTGTTTCCTAGAGACAGAACCCACCCGGCGGTTCTTTGGAGCTTGCTAGCTCCATTGCTCCTCCTTTTTGGACCTCTCGGCTTCTTGAACCCAGCTCGTTCCCTTGTGGTCCATGCAGCGTATATCGACCGGCATGCTTCGATCCTGGCTACATGATATCGTTTGGCCGTGGTCGTAACATGACAGCTTGATATGCATGCTTCTATGTACACCTCAAGGCTCGTTGTTGTCCGGGGCACAATGCCAGTACCGCTCGATACATGGTCGATACGCTGCAGTTGCATTAGTGCCCTCGAGAGGACCTTCGGAGTCTTTGCTCGTTTCCTTTCTGGAATCCTCTCTATGGCAGGCAAATTGTTCCTTTGCAGCACCCTCCTCTCGTTTGAGCTTGTCGCTCTATCAGAAGACTGGACCTCTCCTCCCTGGCTCTCGACAGCGAACCATTTGCTGAGTTTCCCCAATGGCCTCCTCCTGGTGGCCTTTCCTGTTCCCCGACGGAGGAGCAGATTGGCCTTCTGCGTTCCATTTTGCCACCTCACCAGCCTAGGTCTGCATATACAGATGCTTTTACCCAGCAGAGGCCGCATGTCCCGTACCATCTTTGCCAGGTATCGGACAGAACGATGGCGAGGGGCAGGTGGAGCAGGAGGAGAAGAATGTGGCAGCAGGAAGGGAAAAAAAAAAAAACTTTTAGCAAGTGCTATGAGATACTCCCGCATATCGTGCCCGGGCCCATATGCCATGACATGCCTTTCCCGGATCCATACTGGCTGGCGTCTGGAGAGGAGATCTTTCCCCCCAGAAACGATGCATCCCACCCATGTGTGGTTGTGGAGTTGATCTAGTCTCAGCAGATTCATCAACTGGCAACGACAATGCCAACACATCAACTACATCAAGATGGGTCACACTTTGAGCCGCATCTTTACAGTGCACCTGCATCTAGCGAACCCTCTTTCTTCATGTCCGTTGAGCTTTCCGTCATTTCCCTTTGTGTCTGTATCAAGACTTCTCTTTTGCCATTAGCCCCCTGCCCCGCCCCTAATATCCCGTCACTGCAATAAAGCATGAATGTTTCGCTCGAGACTGTTGCGTTCCAGCCTTGAATACGTAGATATCAGCCTTGACTTCCTCCACCACCCAATGCTCACAACACCCTCTCATCCGTAGGACAAGCTTCATCGCCATTTCTGCCCTGCTGCCCTGCTGCCCTACGGTTCTGTGTGCTTTCTATACCACATTGTCCCTAGGTTGGGCTCGATTGCATCGCATCATACGGAGTCCGGATCCCATCCCGCGGTCTAAATTTCTCTTTGCTTTTTCTTTTTTTTTTTCTCTCACTGTGCCAGTATTCACAGACGCTGTCTGTTGAACTTTATTTCTCTTCTTCTTGGTCCGCCGTTCGTCTTCCATTTCGACCCATTGGGCACCGCCAGCAAGATGGGTGGCTTCTACATGCAGTACCTGGAAAGTAAGTCATCAATTGAGTCGTCCTGATGGCTGGCTCCCCTTTCCGACATCCTCAGTTCATATTGCCATTGTTTTCTTCATGGTGGGGCGTGGTTAAAGATGTGTGTCATCCGTCCGCCTCAGGGATGGCTGACCCCTGCACGACATCTCCACGACATGGAGGGCATTACACCTGTTCCTGCTTTTGAGATCGTATCCGGAACCGCTAGCAGCTTTAAACACGGTTACTTTGTCAATCAAGAGCAACTTGCCCCCTACACTCCGTCTTCTGTAGGGCTGAGGCGTTCGTGTTGGGCTGTCATGCAGATTCCTTCACGTCATGCCGCCTCGCCCCAGGTTCCGACAATATCGGGTGTCGATTTGCTGGCAGAGCGGTGATATTACCCAGGATCGAAGCTAATCGAGGTTACTTGCAGGTCTTTGCCGACGACGTGGGTGGGAAGACCCCATGTACGAGTGTTACCGGGACTCCAGCGGGTACACTTGTCTCGTGATGGTCAACGGCCGCGAGTACCAGACGGATCTTGCATACGCATCGGATGGTCTAGCCCAGGAGAACGCAGCCATGCGAGCCTTTATGGTGTGCCGCAACTTCTCCGTCAATGGAGGCATGTTGGCCCGCAACGGGATCGTCCAAGGCCTGCCTGTGGACGAGACAAGCCGCAAGTCCAGGAGGGGAAGCCGCCACAACTCGTCTTCCAATCATGGCCATGGACACCATCGGAGCCGTCGATCTGGCCACCACTCCAGCAGTAGCTCAACCGCCTCCCTGGAGTGAAAGCATCAAGGTGGTCTCATACTTACACGGTGGGGGTCGTGGTCAGACTTGAATCCTCCTCCGATCACCCACCCAAACTGCCCCGGGGAAAGCCGTAACGCCCAATTGGTTGGAAATTGGTTACCTTGATACCACTTAAAACCGCGGACTGCATTTCTGATATAAACTTGGAGAAAGCTTCACAGCAATATTACCGAGAGAGAGACGGAAAGAGATTCCAGGAGTTATACCCTGTTGGTGGCATCCAACCCAGTTGCGAGAACGACGAATATTGGGAGAGAGGCGAAACGAAGACGGCACGACAAGATTTGGCCGATGAAAATGCATCCAACGTCATGAATTTTACGACTTTTACGATCCTAGACACCACACCATTCACGACTTTTACGACACGAGATTTTCCATTTCGATCTCTACTTTTCTCTTAAATTGTTTTCATTTCATTTTCATTCTCTTTGGTCCACCGCATGATGCATATCACGGTCTTTGAATTATACCCCGACACCGGAGAACTCAAATAACCACCTAGGCACCTAGACTTCTTCTCCCCCATCTTTGGGTACTACAGGACCGGTGGGGAAAGAACTTCTGGTGATCTACACCAGCCCGGGACTCCATGCTTGGATCGGAGCCTTTGGATATTCGCCATTCATTTTTTCTCCTGGTACTATATATGCCTTTTCAACGCAAGCAAACAGGGCTTCGTTGTAGTGGAAACAAACTGTTGACAACGGAAGGATCTTCTAGCACCTCCTCATTGGATTTCACTTTTTTGGATGGGAGACATACCCACAGCCAGGAATTGCATACCTCTTGGAACCAAGGCACACGTGGGAACGAGGATATTTTGTCTGCCCCTGTGGGAGTCGCCTTTGGATCTCGTTCACATTTGCCACTCATAGCGTTTGCGCTGATTTGTCAACTCTTTGTCCGTGGGAAGGAACTTTGAGCATTATCGTTTACAGGGCGTTCTTCTTCTTCGTCCCTCTTGGAGACCCGATTTTGTTAAAGAACACCGAAAACCCGGAGGGGAATAATTAGATCGATACTCGCGGAGGTTTACCATGATTTTTTCTTTTTTTACTTGCCTTGATATATGGAATGTGGCTCTCTGATCAATCTGGCCGAGTTTTTTTCTTTCTCTCCCAGGTCCAAAAGAATATTTGCTGTTTCGCGCGTCGTCAAAGGAAAGAGAGCAGCAGAAGGACACATCACAGCACGAGTATGAACAGACACGGCTTGGAAACAATATTTTTCCCTTCTCTTCTACGAATATCTTTGAACTTTCCATTGGTTCGGTCATTTTTCCTTGTATCTGATGGGCTGACTACTTATTTCTGCTTACTCATGTCTCCTGAGACCACTTATGAAGTTACGAGCTCATATTATGATGAAGTCTATGATTATGACAGGATCTTATGAAAAGATTTAAGATGGTGAATAAGAAGGAGGGATATATAAACTGAGCGGCCTTTTATCGAGTGTGTCCTAGCATGTGGATCTGCCCACCCATTTCAACATTTCTAAATAGTAGCTGCCCTGAAAATATCCAGATATGATGTGTATGGTTTTCACTTTGAACTATTGACAAGCGTTGAAGCCGGTGAAATTAATCAAGGTCTTCAAGTCAGCCTCATTGTCGACTGAAACAGTTTGGTTTCTATGCCTACGGGGCCTAAACTTTATTGACACCCCTTTTCGACCAACCAACAAGCAACCTCCCGTGCCCTGGCCTCCACTCCAGCACACACACTAAACGCAAATCCCGAGAACCCTGCACACCATGAAAACCTTGACCGACTCCACCTGGATAAAAGCCCTGAGCCCTGGCTCACCAAACACCAATCAATAAGAGAAAACGCGCCCGGCTAGCTCAATCGGTAGAGCGTGAGACTCTTATTCAAGAGATCACCAATCTCAAGGTTGTGGGTTCGACCCCCACGTCGGGCTCAATTCCCGTCGCAACGACAGCCACTTCTCTTATTCTTTTGTCTTTTTTTTCTTTATCAAAAGTTATTCTTTTGAAAGTCTAGTTGGCACTTTCTTTCTCCATGTTCTATCTAGTTTTTACAGATTACCTCTTTTTTTCTCTCTCCGAAACTCCAGCATAATTCACCGTGATATATTTCACCGCTTTCCATGATTGATTAACCCTTATTTTCTCCGTCCATGCGATGGATGGTACGGACAAGGACACTTTGGTGGCTTCCTTCCCAGTCGAGTGTCATGTCTTCTCGAAGGCCTAGACCCCTGTGGACACGACGATATGGGTCTCTGTCACAGGCCAAAACTTGTGCCCCTCACTCATAATTCGAGATCTACGACCATGCCCATGGTCAGGCGGAGGGTGAACAAGGGCCCGAATAAGTCGCTCGTATCTGGAGAGAGGAGTCACGACAGGACGAACCTTGTTGATTGTTTCAACCTACCACTTCCCTTGATCAAGAGTCAGGTACTATGGATGGTAGGGACATGAGGACTGGTCTAGACCAGACTGTTCTTGTGGGTATGGAACACATCCTCCAGTTCATCGGATTTCCAACAGCTGAAATTCGGACCCCTTTTATATACCGGGGATTCTCAGCTTCCAGGTTTCTGCGGCTGACATGAAGCAAATGTATGAAATCCAAAATAAGCTCACTATAAACAGAGTGAGTTTCAAGGCATAGTCACCGGCTACAGCATGTTTCTTGGTGAGCATGAGACCGTCTAGGACAAACCCCTCCCTACGGGACCCCCGGAGCCATGCGCCGAGCTGCACATCCCCAGCAATTCCACCCCCGCCCTAAAGCCTAGGGCATTTTGCACCTCGGTCCCCGCATTTTGTCCACCAATTGATGAAACCGGCGCTAAATCATGCGGCTCACGCTGTTCCCATGTGCGCGCTCCCCCTGGAAAAATTCGAGAAAAAATTGAGCCGAGAGAACAAACGCTGCCACTGCCTGCACCACTGCACCACTGCACCGTTCGCTGCATCGACGTTAACGCTGCACTCCAACTTTAAACTCTCGCCTGCTGTTACGCACCGGTCGGACGGTATTAAAAGGGGCCGCCATGTCTCCGATGCGGACGAAGCTCGTGCCTGGGGCTCTATTTGTTCCCCAGAGAACCTCACTGTTCCCACTGGTTCCTCGACACAATATCAGTGCACCAGTTCGGTCCAAAAGCTTCCAGATCCGGCCCACATCACCTGCTCGGCTCAAGGCTCCCGATCCCTCAAGCTAGCGCCAGGCCTTTTATGACGTACCACCCCTCCGCCGTGCCGCGCCTGAACCCCTCTACCGGCTGATCCCCCGCGACGACCCCAAGCTACCCCTCCTCCCCGTGTTAACGTCTGCTTCTCCTGCTCTCTATCGCCGTTGGTCCCGATCTCGACCATCAGCCTCGACCTCTGCGTTACTACTAACCCACCTTCTCGCCGTTACATCGAAAGCGCCCTTCTCCCCGCTCTGTACAACAGCTACGAGCTGTGTCTCTACGCCCTCCAGAAGATTCGCATTCGAGCGCGCATTCCGTACGAGCATCCCGCGAACGGACAACACAATACAGGACAACAGCCCTAGTATTATGGGAGAGGTCATATCCCTTGACCACGCGCAAATGGCAATGCACACTTCGCTACTAGGCGACGGACTTGTTAAGGGCCTGGACGAGTTGGGTAGCTTCTTCACCGGAAAGAAAGCAGTCACAAAAACAGCCGAGCCGCCCATGGTCGCAGAACGTGCCCACGAAGCTCAAGAACCCGCGGTGGTAGCAGCCCCAACTCCCCCCATTGTCCCCTCAGAGTTGCCCGAGGGAATCGTCGAGACGGCCGAGGAGCTCAAGCGACATTGGTACGTCGGCAGCATCGACCAGGGAACCACCTCTTCTCGTTTTATAATATTTGACGGCGAAGGAAATGTGGTGGCCAAGCACCAGATCGAATTCGACAACCTCTATCCGAAGTCCGGATGGCACGAACATGAACCTATGGTGCTTCTTTCCACGGTCGAGCAGTGCATAAAAGGGGCGATGGAGGAATTTCGCAAGATGGGTCATACCAAGGCCGATATTAGGTCTATCGGCATCACGAACCAGCGCGAGACGACTGTGGTGTGGGACAGCACAACGGGAGAGCCTCTGTGCAATGCTATCGCGTGGCCGGATACGCGGAACAAGGCGCTGGTACACGAGCTCAAGGCCCGCGAGGGTGCGGATACGCTTTCGCAGCTCTGCGGCTTACCGCTGTCGACCTACCCGAGCAGCGTCAAGCTTCTCTGGCTCCTCCAGAACAACGACGCCGTCAAACAAGCGTATGAAGATGGCCGTCTCGCCTTCGGAACGGTAGACTCGTGGCTGATATACAAATTAAACGGAGGCGCAAAAGCGGAGAAACCCATCCATGTGACGGACAGCACCAATGCCAGCAGGACCATGTTCATGAACCTGCACACGCTCCAGTACGACGACACTCTGCTCAAGTTCTTTGGCATCGACAAGACAAAGGTTCAGCTGCCACGGATCGTTCCTTCCTCGTCAGCCACCGAGTTTGGGAAAGTCGTCAGTGGTCCACTACAAGGCATCCCGATCGCAGGGTGTCTCGGAGACCAGTCCAGCGCGCTGGTGGGGCAGTGCGGGTTCAGCCCCGGCCAGGCGAAGAACACGTATGGCACGGGCTGTTTCCTGTTGTATAATGTGGGGACGGAGCCTGTCATCTCGAAACATGGGTTGCTCACAACTGTAGCGTACGACTGGGGCGGAGATAAGAAGCCTGTGTATGCTCTTGAGGGGAGCATTGCTGTTGCCGGGGCGGGCGTCAAGTTTTTGATGAATAACTTGGGTTTCATCACGAAGTCGGAGAAGATTTCCGAGCTGTGCGAGACAGTGACGGATAGCGGTGGTGTCGTCTTCGTGACGGCCTTTAGTGGCCTCTTTGCGCCATATTGGATCGACGACGCCAAGGGGACGTTATGTAAGATACCCTTTACTTCTTCTCATCATTCAACGTTATCAGTACTAACGTCAAGATAGTCGGGATAACCCAACACACGCAAAGGGGGCACATAGCCAGGGCGACGCTAGAAGCGACATGTTTCCAGACTAAAGCAATCCTCGACGCCATGGAAAAGGAATCTAACCACAAAATAACGCGTCTGGCAGTGGACGGGGGCATGTCCGAATCGGACCTGTGCATGCAGACACAGGCCGATATCAGCGGGATCGAGGTTGATAGGCCGGCCATGCGGGAGACTACGGCGCTCGGGGCAGCGATTGCTGCGGGACTGGCGACGGGGGTGTGGCAGGTGCTGGAGGATCTGAAGGATGTGAACAAGAATGGGAGGAAAGTCTTTCGTCCCAAGATTTCGCCTCAGCAGGCGAAGAAGAGGTTTGCCAAGTGGGAGAGGGCGGTTGAGATGAGTAAAGGGTGGGTTACGGATATTAATGAGGAGTTTGAGTGAGTGTGGTTGCTGGGGGGTGGAGGGGCGGATGGCTCAAGTTTTCGACTCGAGGCTTGGGTTGGCGTGTGGACGGATCAAAGTCAAAGTGTAATGGTAATACCCGAGGGAAAGGGGAGGTGATATTTGAGGTGCTGGCGAGCGAATGACCGGTGTATGTTTCCTGTCCTCCTATTGTCTCCCTAACATCCTTTTTTTTTCATTGGTTTTCTTCTCTTTTGGTGTCTGCTGGCATAGCTAGGCGGCTGGGTCGGATCAAACACGGCTACGAATCGTTGCGGGTGGGCGAGAACAGTACTGGCCGTCGATAGGGCAGTGTTTTGATGGAGTTTATTATGCTTATACGTCCATGGGCTTTTTTATGCTTGTTTTTCTATCGGCTTCTGTCGGCTGCTTGTTTCTCCCACTGCCTCGCAGTCATATTCACCTTGCTCGGTCAGGTTTTCTCTTCGGTGGGTTGGCTTACCTGTTTGGTGGTCTCTATGCTTGGGTTCGAGCAGGATCTTCCTGTGTGAATTAATTAGTGTGTCCTGTTTGAACTGCTGCGTTTTGTATGATTAGGAGCTTTGGGTCAGACTTGCTTAATTGAGTATTCTGTTTCCGTTTGATCAACTAACCTATGCCTCTAAGCTTCTTATGGTGTGGCGTTCACATGGGCTGCTCAGCCATTGTGCGATTGAAAACATTGGAATAAAGAATAGCTCAATAAAACTTCTTTCCAAAATGATGCTCATTCAATGAGGGCTTAGATAAATTGATATAAGGGACCTAAAAGCAGCACCACTACTTTCGTATACACGCACCAGTCCACTTGGACTTTCCAGCCCACTCGGGGAAGTTATTCAACAAGCAAAGGCATATATTCTAGCAAGTCATAAGATATTCTAGCAAGAGTAGTCCGTCCCTACATATGAGGAGATTGTCTAGTGCCTATACATGAGGGTAGTGGTGCCTTTTTATCACGCCCTTATTTTAATCTGTTAAAGTCCACTCCATCCGTATTGCCCTCGACATGGTATGCACATACCAAGAACGTCACGTCATCACCAATATCTTACTTTAACTCTGCGTACTCACTATAGTTCTGTGGCATGTATAATCACCAAAACGAACAAATGAAATACGGGGAAAGATGAACGTTGTATTTAGTTAGCACTGGTAAGTAAAAACCCCAAGAGGGCAAGCTAAGCAATGAAACTTGGACATGTGACCGGAAGGTCTTGTCTGCCCAGCATCATGCCACAAACAAACCAGGTACGCAATATCGCGTGCTTTAAAAACAACCAACCCATGAAACTTGAAACATGCGTACGGATATAAACCCGTAACAAGTTAAGATGCCTATAGTATATATCCCCCCCTCCATGCCGAGAACAAACAAGGACATGATGAAATCGGGCCGGGAATGAGATCAAGTCCCGAACCGGGTCCCCGAATAAACACTGGTTTGGACATCTCCGCGGAGAAAATCACCAGATTCATTAACCTGCCCTTTCCCCTCCTCTTGGGGTCCTA